AGGATGAATAATATTCCAGGAAATTGATTTTTTTTTAAAAATGTTCTTACATTGTGAAATAAAAGTTAGTAAACCAATGTCACTCAAATGCTTCTGAAATGGTCCTGGCCTATAAAATCACATGTGTGGCTACCACTGGATCTCAGGGTAAAATGCAGTCTCCTCGCCCCATGTTGCATGTTCTCAGGACCTCAGACTTCTCCAGTTCCTCTCAATCAGCTACATGGTGAGCACAATGAGTCATGCTTTCTCATTGTTCCTTAGAAACCACTTATATGTCCCTTCTTCCATGCACCCTGCATTCATTCTTACTCTTCTCTCCATCTGGAATCTTTCTCATTTTTTCCTCATTAAATTCATCCCAGTCCTGCCAGGCCTCCTCTCCCCAAGGAATCCTAATGCACCCCAGGCCTCCTCTCTTAATGTTTTCCCTCTCACAGTTCACATTACTTCCCCATCTTTGATTTCTGCTGTGTCCACTTTCATCTCCCACACTGGGCTATAAGTACCCGAAGGAGACTGAACCTGATTCTCCCCTATTTTCATTTATTCCTTGGCAATGAACTCCTGGGGGTCATCTTCAGGCCAGGAGCTGTCCCAGGCACTGGGAATACAAACACAAAACAACCCCAAGGTTTGATTTTACACAGGGGTCAACAGGTTCTGCCTGAAGCTGGTGAGGCCCTCATAGAAGAATGGCTGTGAATTTCCTGTCAACTTAGCTCTTCAGAAACATTTTTGTTTGTGACTCTAGATTCTGAGATGTGCCTTGGTTCAAGGCCTGGGGTTGTACTAAGGTTAACTCATATTTTTACCTCTATATATGCTATGATCTGAATGTTTGTTTCTCCCCCAAGTTTATATGTTCAAATCTTAAACCCCAAAGGTGATGGTTATTAAAAGGTGGGACCTTTGGGGGGTGATTAGGTTATGAGGGTGAAGCCCTCATGAAGGAGATTAATGCCCTTATGAAAGAGACCCCCATGGAACTCATGTGAGGACACATGAGAAGTTTGTGATCTAGAAGAGGGCTTTCACCCAACCATGCTGGTACCCAGACCTCTACTTCCAGTCTCCAAAACTGTGAGAAATAAATTTCTGTTGTTTATAAGCCACCCAGTGTATACTGTGTTATAGCAGCCAGAATGGACTATAAAACATTATGTAAAATCACATGTTGGCCATGTTAAAAGGGAATATCAAGGAAAACCATCCTGAATTCTAGGTTCCCATTGGGGAGAGTTTCTAAGGGGAGAGATATCAGGTGACACCATGAATAATTCACAAGGCAAAGTAGAAGCATGGGGTGGCCTCCCTTTGTGTCTGAACAAGAGGCCTCAGAAGTTGCACACTGGCCCCAAATTTGCAAAGAAAGTTCAGGTCATGTGCTTTGCCCATTTTGATTTCCCAAAGGCTGCAGACCTTGACAAGTTAATGTTTCCTTTGCAGGAAATGCCCACTGAGTTACTGAGTTCCTAAAGGACAAGCTGAGTCATTCTTACACAACAGAAAGTGAGTCCATCTCTCTGTCCATCTGGTCACCTACTCATATGGCCCTGAGCAGACTCATCCTCTAAACTGCCCCATCTCCTTACCCACAGCATAGGGCTGTGCAAGTACCCACTATCCTCCCAGCCACCTAGGGGTCTACAGAAAGCTTAAACAGAGGCCCTTTCTATTGGGCACATCATCCATCCACACTCAACCACCCAGGCCTTTTTTGAGTCAGGTTCCATTCAGGGCTCCGGAGTGTACAAATTAAGTAGTCCCTATCTTTGGCCTCAGGGGCCTTGCAGTTGACAGAGAGACAGACATACAAACATGTGGAAATTACATTAGAGTGTGATCTGTGCTATAAATGTGGGAACTACGAAGAGAAGAGGTCTGGAAAAGACTTCCCAAAAGAGATATAATACACAAGCCAATCCCTGAAGCATAAGCTCAGATAGATGAGTGAAGAGACATTCCTGGCAGAGCAAACTGAACTGGCAGAGGGGGGTTCAGTATGACTCATTCCGAAAGTATCATAGAGTTCTAGGACACAGAAGAGCTGGTTTCTGCCACTCTCTGACCTCAGGCTCCATTTCTCTACCTGGTTTATGAAATGAAGAATTCAGAAGCCACATGCTGTCACTTCCACCATATTTCATTTGTTAGGAGCAAGTCACTAAGTGCAGTTCATGCTCAAGGGCTCACAGAATTACACTTCTCTTGAAGGAGGGAGTGTCAAAGAATTTTTAAATTACCACAGTTCACCCAGTGGCCACAAATTATTTATAGTCCTCCCACATGCAAAACATACACACCCTTCCAAACCTCCCTCCTAAAGTCCCACCCTACTATAGAATGAGCTTGAAGTCCAGAATCTGCGTCCAAATCAGGTTCTCTTGTGAAAGAGGCTCCTTGGATGTATTTCCTTCAATGTAACCCCTTAAACACAGTTCTCAATTTGCAGACCTGTGAGTTCCAGGGATCAGTTGTCTGCACTCCTGTGTCCGCCACTCCAACATACAATGGTGGGACAAGTATAGCATGACCACTGTGGATATTATTGTTTAAAGAGGATAGGGATGGGAGACACACAGGTGTCACTAGGGAACTGGGATTGGCGATTCTGAAATCCAGCTGGGCAGATGTTGAAAGTTCCTTGATTGGGACTCAGTCTGACTCTGGCCTCTCCATGCTCTTGGTTCTATCCTCGGAGTCTTTGTTGTGATCTCAAGTCATCCTTTCTTTCCCCATGAAATGTAGCACCTGTTTGCATCTGTGTGCTTTGTCAGGGAACCTCTTGCCAGTAGAATTGGGGTGGGTGAGTAGAAGGGACTTCCAGAAGCCTCTTTTCATTTTGTACTATCTCTGATCTTTTTAGTCCAATCTCCAAGCTGGCACTGTCTTGCCAATATAATCTTTTAAAAGCTGTGTGTCTCATGTGAATCTTTTTGAGATTTACTCCTTTAAACAACTGGAATCTCTTTTAAATAAACCCTTCTCTACCTTGGGCTTTGGCTGAATGACAACTTTTAAGCTTTTTGGAAGACCTTCTGTTTAACTGAATACTCTTGAGGTGCCACTGATGATTTTTATTTTGAGAACTTAACAAAGGATTTACAGCCACACCTTTGGCTTCCTTTTTAGGCCATCTTTTCCTGGCATGGCCCTGAATTGCATCTTTGCCTGGAGGTTGTTAGTTTTAGCATCATCTGACATCTGGAGAAGCTGTGGATTTTAAAAACCAGCAAATTACTTAACAGTCCTTCTTTTGGCTTATCTTTCATTTCTTACATTTTAGTATATGAAGCAAGAAAAAGCCAGGAACACCTTCAACATTCTGCCTGAAAATTTCCTCAGCCAGACTGCCCAGTTCACTTGGCACATTTTCTACTTTCCATGTTACTGCAGGTGGCAGCATCACTAAACTTCCTGCTTAAACTTCCCTGCTTTCCTGCTCCTATTCCCCTTAAGACTATAGGTTCTCCTTTGATTTTCAAACACATTTTTGGGGTGTCCAATCTACAAGTCATTTTTTTGGGTGGTTCCTGTTACTTCCTATCATTCTGCCTTCTCTATTCTAGCTTCAAAGTTCTGCTCACACTGCTTTCCCACTCCAGGCTCCTGACATTCAGTCATTTATTCTACAAATTTTATTGAGCACTTTCTGAACTCAAGGCACTACACTAAGTGTTGGGGAATTCCTGGGGACTAAGATAGTCTTTGCCCTCGTGTTCTAGTGGGGGAGACATGTCAATCAAATAATCCCAGAAGCCACGATAAAATTACAATTGAGGGGGGAGAGGTGCATGAAGGAAAATTAGAGGCCCCTCTGTGATCATATAATGAAGGATGTGTTCTAGTGGGTGTGTGCCCAGGGAAAGTGTCCCTGAAGATGCGATATTTAAGTAGGGACCTCCTGAAGTATGAATGGGATTCCCTTGGAGAAGAAGATGAATAGCATATGGAAAGTTCATGAGTCAAGAAGATCAGTGTACATGAGGGATAGCCAGGAGCACTGGAGGCTGGAGCAGAAAGAACAGGGGACAGTTCCTGAGAATGGGCTAGAGGGCTCAGTAGAGATGGGTCACCTCAATCTTGGATGTTCTTCCTGGCATGTGGGCATTAAGTCATTCAACAAACATTTAGCATCTACTATATGCCATCACTGTTATACAACAGTGAATACATCACACCAGTTTCCTATCTTTAGAGAGCTTAGAGTCTAGTAGTAGAGACAGGTAATAAACAAGAAATAATAGACAAGAAAATCTCAGATATACAGTAAGTGCTGTGAAAGTAATACAACAGGGTAATGTGACAGAGAGTGGCTAAGGGACTTCTTTAGACTGTGTAACCTGTAACAGCTTCTCTAAGGCTCTACATCAGATATATGATATGTAAGCTTCAACATGAAGGCGAGAGAGGGTGTGCCTCTGCAGTATTTGAGAAAAGAATGTTCCAGCAGAGGCCAATGTTAAAAGCCCTGAGGCTGGAGCAATCTTGATGTGTTCAGGCACTGAATTGAGGTCCAGGTGGCTGGAACTCATGTTGAGAGAGTCCTCCAAAGAAGTGAGGGTAGGAAGGGCATAGAGAATTCCAGCAGCTGGTGTGACAGGAAGGGCATCCACCTGAACAAAGAATGGATGTCAGGAAATAATAGGCAGATTTATTCTCCTCTGTATTCTTTTTTCCCCCTGACTTTCCTTGGCTCAAGGGGAACAAATAACCCTTCCTGAGGCAGGATTGGTCAGGCTGGGAGCCAGGAGAGGGGTCCCCGGCATCCAGAGTAGGTGGAAAGGAGCACTGGAAGAAGGGGATTTGCCTAGCAAGTCAGGAAGAGCATTGTGCAGGCAGAAACCCCAGACACTCTGTTAGTGCCTCTCCCAGGTTCATGGAGGTTCAAAGGGCAAGGATCTTGTTTGGCTCTGCCTTGCGTCCAACATACGGCAGGAACTTGGTACATTATTTTTGAGTGAGTGAGAGAGTGAGTGAGTGAGTGAGTGAGTGAGTGAGTGAGAATTACCTGGTTTGGCGAGAATTTCCCCTTACCAACTCAGCCTTGTAAATATTCATAAATTCGGGGCGTTTGGGCCTTTTCAAAGCCCTGTGACTTCTGCAAGTCTTCTCTATAAATGCAAGCAGGCCCAGAGAGGGTGAGTGATGCGTCTGGCCGTGGTCTCAGAGTTAGAGTCCTTCCCACCCCCACCCAGAGTCACTTTCTGCTCGTCCCGCGTACCCCGCCTTTCTCGCCTCGGCCAGGCGCCTCTCCCCTCCCAAGCTTTGACCTTGACTGTGGCTCCCGGACTGGCCGGGGCGGGTCCCACCTCTCTGGCGCCCAGGGCCAGCCTGCGTCAGCCCCAGTTCCCAGACCGCGGCTCTCAGAGGTCCCTTCTGGTCCGCAACGCCTGCACCGCCTTCCCGGCTTGGTGAGTCCCGGAGCGCCTCGATCTCCCGCCCGGAGGAAGGCAGGCTACCCCAGTTCGCCCCTACGGGGGTCCCAGAGGCTCCACGAGCTTCACCCCAAGAACGTGGGGTTTGGGGTCCGGATCGCGGGTTCCCGTTGGGGCAGCTGAGCCTCCAGCCTGGCCTGGGATCTTCAGGCTAGAGGACCGCGACAGGGGACTGGGCAGGGGGGCAGAGCTTAACAGCCCGCTCCACCCTGTGGGGTGGACGTTATAGGCCCGGTTTACAGAAGAGAAAACTGAGTCTTGAGAGACAAAGGGACAAGCCGAAGGTGACACGATTGTCTGTGACAGGGGGCTGCTCCCTTTCCTAAGTCCCTTACCCCATTCTCGGGATTGGGAAAGCTCCCCCCTGATTGGTCCTGGGCAAGAGGAGCCCGGACTCTGGAGACCCAGCAGGATCCCACAACGGGGTTCTGAGCGGTGCCCTACTCATATCCCAGACG